TACTGGCCACCCCATGCTGCATGCATGCTTTATCTCTTCCAAGTGAAAAACTAAAGCGTGAAGACAATGGTCTGGGGCTAACCCAAGTGTAGGAAAGGAAAGCAGGAGTGTTTGGAGGGCCAGAATTAGTCTACAGACTTTATCGGTGTTGGTGCCCAAGTAAGCAGTGCAAAACCACACCTTTGTTTTCCTCAGCAGCACCCAGCATGGACATGGCCTGATAGAGTCCTGTCCTCGGCTCTCTGGAAGCCGTTTGGGTAAAGCTGTGCTGGCAGAGAAACTCTTTTTGCTGACAGCCACTCAGCCACCTGAAGAGGCTTTTCTACTTGAGCCCAATGAGCAGCGGGGGTGAGATGGTACCAAGCCCCAGCTCCCTCTCCTTACAATAACTACGGAAGGCACAAGGAGCCGTTCAGCACAGAGGGGCAGAACGGGGAGCGCTTTTCAATTAATTGGTGGCAGGTTTTATCTGACAAAAATTATCACAGTTGTTGGCTCTGTCCCTGGGGATGCTCTTTTGTGATGCCTCACAAAGGCTCCCATCTGAGTCAAGAGCAGAGCATTGGGCTTTGCGGCGAGCTCGCTTTCTTGGGGATGGGCAGGTCTCTGTGGGTAGCAATAGCCTCGGAAATCAAAAAGTCTGCTGATGCACTCTTTCTGTTTTCATGTTTTTCAATTCCTTTCTGGCCGTTGCGATGCCTCTTCCCTCACCCCCTTTCCTGTGCAAAATTTCTCTGTTTCCATCCGCCCCATTTTTCCTAGACCAGGTTTGGATTGGGTTTGCTGCCCTTAAGTAGCTCAGATGGTGTCCCTGATTCCCCATGGGGACTTACCTCTGGCTACAGCTCTTTCCTCACCTGAAAAACCTCCACTTCAGTGGGAATTTTGACTGAGTGAAAAAACAAGTGAAAGGCAGAGGATTTGACTCATTGCTCATTTAAGTCTCAATTGTGCTTCTTCCTGCTCCTTTTCTGTGGAAGACTATTGCTTCTCAGGAAATTTGAGGTCTTGTAGGGAGGTGTTACAAACCACAGAGCACTTTATAAGTAAGAGCATAACACAACTCTTACATGTTTGCATTTATAGACATGTAATTCTTAGTGTAATATTAATACAGTACTGAGTATATGTGGTAGGGAGTTACTCAATTTTTCAGTGGTAGAAATATTTAAGGGATTGGGTTGGTTTACCTTAAAAATGCTGCTTGTGAGTGAATCGCCAGCAGTGTTGCTTCCAATTCAAATGTTAAACAAGTGAAATTTTCCACAGCGAAAACTCCAGAGCTCATTCTGCTCCTTCATGTTGATGTAAGTCTTTGCTGGAGATGACAGTGCAGTGAGTGTCATCAAGCTCAGAATGCTTTGAGAAAAACCTAATAGGTCAAATGCTGCTATTGCCTGACTAGGGATGCTGCAGAACCTTTTACAATTGCTGGCAGATTGCGACTGCAAGGGTTGGGTCAGAAATTAAGGTCAAGGGCAGAATGTGAAGTCAGTGAACTGTTGGGTGATTAAATGTTCCATGGTGTGATATATTTGTTTGTTTTAAAGTAGTAGGTGACCAAAGAGCTGATTTTTCAATGTTGTTTTTGTGGATGTTGCAGGAGAAACACAGCACTTTAAAAATGCCTTTGCGGGGAACGATGCCAGTGTTATGGGATTACCACTTGCTTTCTATTCAGGAATGTATGCCTATTCAGGCTGGTAAGTTGTTGAAACCTCTAAGTATTTGTCCTGAAAACAAACACTAATATGCTGTCCTAAAGATGTTTGTTTATATGAAGAAATGAGTAGCACGTTCTACATCACTTGCCAAAGTACATCATGTAGTAAGGGTAGATCTCATCACTGTTCCGTATGCTTGGTAGTTATTCCACAAGCAGCTCTACAAAGGAAATATTTTTCTTCTGCAACGTGCGGCAGGTAAACACGTGCTGAACACTAAAAAAATCAGACTTTTGTTTCTACTCTTAAGACTAGAAATAAAGGCAACAAGAAAGGAATATTCTTAATTTTTCATTAGATGTTTTGAGAAAAGAATAAAAGGGACAATGAAGCTTTAATTTTTGTTGAACAAGTCAGTAATTACCTGAAAAATCTATGAACCGTTACAAAGCTGTGGATCTCTATCCCACTTGTGTGGACCTCAGCCTTTGCTTTGTAAAAGCAGTATTTGAAGAATAAGAAGAGAGCCACAATAACATTAGTATAGACCACAAAATAAGGTAAAGAACTAGATTCTTACACCTCTTGCTCCGAAGGAATTGGACCTCACTTAGCAAGAAGTGCAGCTGACTTCCATAGAAGTCAAGTGCTATTGACGGCGAGCAAAGGTGTGAGAATCTGCCTTCAAGTGTCCAGCTCAGAACTTTCTTTCAAGTTCTTTCCCTCTTCCCCATCAAAGTGAGTTTGAAAGGTGCTGCTGCTCTTCAAATCTGCCTTACAATTTATTCATGCTTCGCGAGGGCTCCGCGTTGCACAGTGCCAACATGCTTTTGCAGCAGCGGTGTGTGTGTGGGGAAAAAAGAGACTACAATGCACAGAGTGGGCTTATTTTGAGATAGCTTTGTCTGCAGGTCTTCCTTTTCCTTTCCATAGCCTCAGAGGCAGCCAAGTTCTTTACCTCACACAAAAGGCGAGAGCTGAGAGATAAGGATTTTACTTATTTAATTCGGAGGGACAACGGGCCGAGCATTCGAGTTCTCTGCCAGCCTGTAACTCCCTGGTTGCAGGAGCATTATAAACATGCACACTGAAGTACTGAACAGAACTTTTATATTAAATGGGGGCGGGGGGGAACCCAAGAGAGTCCAAAGCCTTTATCTTTGATAGATATATAAGAAAAGAACCTGGCATTTTGAAGCCTCGAAGAATTTGAACATTATCTGGACAGTCTCTGCCTTCTTCCCTTTCTCTCATATAACCACCTCCGTCTCTCATATCTGTACATATAATGGTTTCTCACTGTTAAAATGTTAACCTAACTGTACATTTTTGTATGAAGGTAATTTTAAAAGGTCTTTAATGTTATTCATCACTAGGCAGTTGGTTTACTGTAAAATGCTACGTCAAAAATGCTATTATTCTGTTGCTTCTTTCCCATTTCTTTCCATTTTCCACCTAACGTTCCAAGCCTCTACAATAAAAATAATCTCTGTTTCTCTTTTACACATTCTGACTTCTATTTCAAGGTCCTTATTTTCCCCCTTAGAAAAGAAATTAGCAGGAAAAGACCTAATTTGGCTAGTGGTTCTTCCCAGCTGCCTATTTGTCTTTGTCACCAGCTCAAATTGATTGCCTCAGAGCACAGAAGAGCAGACCATTAAGTGGAGTGTCAATGCCCTTGCACCATCAGTTTCATGGGGCTAAGTCAATCCAATAAGCTGAATGTGAAGGAGTGTCGCAAATGGTGGTGGTGTGTCCCAGGAGGCAGGCGGAATTTTATGCATAGCCTGTGAGACTGTTAACTTTTAATGATACAGCTTTGAAAAACAAAACAAAGGTAGTATTGCTTGTATGTGTGGGTTCATCCTGTGAAGAGCAAGGGTAGACTATTTGGTATATAAAATGCTGGGTGAAAAAGGATAAGTAGAGAAAAAAGCGCAAGGAAACATGTCTTTGTATCAATAAAAGGACTGATACAGGGCTGTCAAAATACTTCTGTCTAGAAGCAGGACTAAGACCAGAAAGGAGCAGCTGAATGTCTTACTCGTCAGAAGCCATCTCTCCTTTGAACTATCCCAACCCCTTCTTTTGTGCTCTGTGCACTAGCAAGTTTAGAAACAAGTACTGAAGTTGTTGTGTAAGATGGCAAATCTAGTTTTACAGAATTTCATGCTCAGTCACAAAATCATGTTTTTTAAAACTGTGAGCCAGCACTAACTCGTTCTGCTCACCCAGACCTGGTCCAAGACTTGTGATGGAGAGAAGTTCCCAGACTTTCTGCCAGATCAGGTACCATTTATTTATTCACTGTAGCACTGTTGGGTCAGATATCATTTGTCTTCCTGTATCTGTCCTAAAAGTAGGAAGCCAACACAACCACTGCGTCGACTGCTCTGTTTAATTACCCAGGATGTGCCTTTGTGCCCGTATCTGAGCCGGGCACATCTGTGTGATCCAGCCATGTGCAGACCTGGTGCTAATAAATGCAGAACAGAGGGTTCAGTGACCTTGAGGCTTACGGTTGCTTTGTATGCAGGGCTGTGCCCGGTGAACAGTTCCTATGAATTCCCATACGTAGCTGTCTCTTGCACGCTGCTGGAATACAACCGGAGTGCAACCTGTACAGGAGGTTGTGCAAGAGCACGCAGGGCCAGTAGCCTGGGTTTACGATCGTAAACGACACGTTAGTGTCAAAATCCTGGTTTTAGGAGGGCTTTTTTGAGGCTTCATTCATTTTTATAGTTAAGAAGTCCTTGCTGAGTACCCTGATGAGAAGTTTTGCCGATATAACCTGAAATTGTAAAAGATTACAGACACAAATGGAATATGAGGCTGGAGGGGGTGTGTGTGTTTGTGTATAGGATTAGGGTGAGCCATAATTTGCCTGGTATGCCAGGGAAAAAAAAGAACTTAATTCTACACCAACATTACATAGCTTTTGTCTTTCTTTCTGTTTTGCTGTCTTTCCTGAGAATTCCATTCTTGAGCGTGGGGATGAGGGAAGGTTAAATCTCACACTCTTTTTAACCCAAACTTGGGTCTGTAGAGTCTACTATAATCAACAGCAGTGCTTAACTAAAAGTATCATCTTGATTCTTTGGGGAAGAAATACAGAATCAAAATCTACCAAGCCCTTAATACGTTTTATAACTCTTTTCTAGGTTTTACCTCAATTTTGTTACTGAAGAAGTGGAAAACCCTGAAAAGTATGTACCTGGTGTTTTTTCTTGACTTTTGAAAAATGATTGTAAAATTGAAAATGCTATAACAGTAGTGATCTTCAGAAATTCTGCATGCTGGTCAAGTTGCTTGCTTTCCTGTAGATCTGGTATCTATTTGAATTGCAACTGCTTGAAGATTTGCTATTTTTGGCCTGTCGTGACCTTGTTACGTATTCTGCTTTTATGTGCACAGAAAGCAGAAAACTAAGTAGATCTCCAGGGCTCTGATTCTCCCCCTCAGGATACGAGTAACTATCAGCGGCTTCTTTCAGTGGAAGTTACTGCTATCCTGTCAGGGAAGTCTTGCCCAAGAAACTTATCTGCTGCAATATTTGGCAGTTTTGCTATGTTTAAATATTAATCAAATACTTAGTTCTACTTGTTTTAGATGTCTTGGGGTTGCAGGATCTTGAATACACATAGTACAGCATCCGATCCAATTAAGCCGAACAGGGGATGTTGGTGGGAGTCTGTTTCAAACCAGAGATCAGTACTCTCTGCCTGTCTGTAAAATATGGAAAGAAAAGCTGTCCTGTTAGGGAGGGTTTGATTTGGCAGATGTATTTTGGTAGTTGTGTTTTGATACACGCAGCCAGTAATAAAATAATATTAACCTTTTCTAAAAATTGAAGAAAATATGCCTCATCAAATCAAATTGTGTTCTTTGAGGAAATTAACAATTTACTTGATAAAAAATTAATGGGTAGATATCATTTTCTTAGGTTTTTAAAATAAGATACCTGACTGGGTACCAAATAACTTACTGTTTAAAAAGACCCCCAGCACCCCCAGTTCATTCAGAGGATATGAACCTGCATATCCTGAGACATGTAGAGAAAGGAAAAAAAAAAACAACCCACAACAAACAGCCATCAATCGGGAGCATGCAGAAGGTTTTTAGTTGGTTTCTTCAAAGTCTGAACCAAGCCTGGTGCTGTTTGGTATTTTCTTCAGAGATCTGAAAATAATTTTTAAGAACTTCATGATAAAACATGAGGATGGCAGAAGAACTGGCAGATTCTCTTTGTTTCATCACCTTTGAGAGGTCTTGGGTGTCAACGGGCTCTTTAGTGTCATCAGGATATGTATACTGAGGAATGTACGACTGGAAGCTGAAACCAGACAAAAGCAGGTGGAAAATACAGCATTAATATTTAACAAAGTGGTTGGCTAATTGTAAGCGCAGTTACCTATGTACATTTGGGTTTTTCGTTGGTAGTCTTCAGTTCAGACTGAACACCTTTTTAGAAGCTGTGTCATACAGGTCAGTGGAGAGCAACTGGCTAACGCTTCCCAGGCCTGGGACACACAAGAAGTCAGGCTAGATCATCTAGTATCATCTAACTACCAAGAATTGTGTGCTTTATAAAGCCAGGGAGGCAGATATTTTTTAAAAAAAAAACAACTTTTTTTTTTTTTTTACTTTTGAAAAATTATATGGCAGACTGACTTGAAAGAAATGTGAAACTAGATAAAGGAGTGAAGTGATTCTGCTTCAGGAAATTCTGCAGAGATGGGTTAGGAGCCAGAGTCTTGGTGATGTGATCAAAAGCATTTGCTAGAAGCAATACAATTTGTAAATTATCCTGTGGTTACCATCGATACCGTGTGATGTTTTTAAACACTCACATGTCTGCCACCCTTTGGGACTTTTCATACACTTATGTGCCTCTGCAGCCTTCTTAACTGTGTGGTGATTGACTGAAATTATTGGTAATTTTCATTATAGCTGTTTTGGTATATGTTGACGTTTTTTCCTTGTGATTTGAGTCAGAGGAGTGTGTATTTTTGAACACCTTGTCCACTGCTGTGTAGGATAGAAAGTCATAGTTCCTTTTTTTTTTTTTTTTTAAACTGAGCACTCATTGAAGCATGTTGTATCTCATCTAAGAAAAGTGGTGTGGGTTAGATTTCAGGCTTTTCTTCATTGCAGCTGGGATGTGAGGGAGGGAGATGGTATTTTCTGCCCCCATCTTGAGCATCTCAGGTTACCCTTGGAGAGAGCTGCTGAAGTTAATTGTGCTGCTAGTGGGAATGCAGGACTAGGGGGGCAAGTCATGTAGTCTGGATGGCTTGGTGGATTCCAGGACAGGTCTGGAAAAAACAGGTCGGTGTTACATGTGCAATGTTGTTGCAAAGCTGTTAAATCTTCCCTTCATCACTCTTCTTGGGGTTGCACTTGGAAAGGACGAGAAGGGAAGGTGCCCAGTGTTTACATTGGGATCACGATCTCTATGCGCAGGTACAAACATCCAATAGAGGAGACTGGGATTTTAAACATTGCTAAATAAGTGGCAGGTGATAGCAGGGCGAGTGGATTGCTGCTGGCTGTGCTGATGGAGACCTCTGAACCGCCTGTAAATGGGGATTCTGGACTCCGTTAACGCAAAACGAGCAATTACATGAAACTGTTGGAATATGTTCTGAACGAAACTGTTGGAATAGGTGGGGTTTTTTCATCCATTTG